CTCTTAATTCATTCAGAAAAGCAGAGGTCAGCAGCATGAATGGATGTGGCTACTGTTGCTACTAAAAGCTTAATTCATCAATTGCTAATAGATGCAATGTGACACCAGCAGGATTGCAAGAGAGTATTGTTATATACCGGTATATATATATATATGTGTGTTTATATAATAGAGCTGCTGCAATTTGCATTATTACTGCTTTTCTAAAAGAACCAAACCCAAAACTTTTTGTAAAGGAATACTCTCTGTTGGGCTGAGGACTGTAAATATATTCTGTAGATGAATAGAGGTAGATAACTTATAAAATTTGTTCAGCTGTGTTGCTTCATGTCTGTCCTGTGGAAAAGGCTGCGCAGAAATGCCATTTGTAATGCAAATCTTGGGTGTGTTCGTTCAGGGTGCACCTGTGGTCAGCAAAGAAACAAACACCCTATTGTGTATCAAAAGCCGTATAGATTTCTGCATGTCTTACACGCAGTGCTACAGAGCTGAACCCTTGATACTGCCTGGAAACTAAAAATCATTTGTGACTTCCTCCTCCTAACATTTATAGCGGGGCTGGGTAACCTTTTTGGAGAGGCAGAGCACAAACATTGGCGGCTCAGGGGGCTGCACAAACACAAGTACATAACCCTTTCCCCTGTATCACAAACAGAGAGAAAGAGGGATGTCCTTTCTCTACTCAACAGCAGGGAATAGCAATACCCCCAAACTGTGATTTTATATCATGAAAGGGTAGTAAGTTTGAATTAAATTAAGGGAACCATTTCTTTTATTAGGCAAGCATGATTAATTTTGTGTTTAGAAGACTACAGTAATCTGCAACTTTTTCATACTTTGGCAGTCCATCTAACTTGGAAGAACAAGAGAAGAGTGCTTTATAGCCATATGGGCACAGTTTTAAAAGCAAATAACTAAGAGCCTTCATAGATTAAATTATTTTCCTGGCTTGGTAAAAGCTTTTCATTCCATCTTTCGTCCTAGCATTATTTAGTAGCACTAGCCGTAGCAAGTCAATGGTGAACTTGAGAGAGAGGATCGTGATTAGGAATCCTAACTGTATACCAGTCTCTGGTCCCTTTGCGACCTTCCAATCCACCCTGACCTAGAAGGGGACTCCAATTAACGTGGACTTCCTAGCCTCTCTCTTTGGTGCAGGTATCCCCAAACTCGGCCCTCCAGCTGTTTTAGGACTACAGTTCCCATCATCCCTGACCACTGGTCCTGTTAGCTAGGGATCATGGGAGTTGTAGTCCCAAAACAGCTGGAGGGCCTGCTCTTGTGTTTGTCTGCTTCCTTTTCTATTTGTTGTGTCCTGCCTCCATCCCTTCTGCCTTTCTGTTTCATTCATAGGCATGTCCTTGTATTTTTCACTCCTGTGTTGGATCCTACTGCCTTAGAGATTTAACAAGAACTTGTACAGCTATCCACATATAACATGGGAATCTGCTTTCTACTGAGTCCATTGGTCCATCCAACTCAGTGGCTTTCTTGGGTTTTAGAAGGGACATTGCCAGTCCAACTTAGAGATGCTGGAGATGTTCTTCCACTGAGATACAACACATCCCCCAACTCTCAAGTGGAAGGCAGCTTGCACAAAAAGTATTTTCTGTGCTCTCCTCCTCATCTGTAGCTTCCCATGCCTTTGGGCCAGAAAACATTGTGGGCTGTGTCCTATGGGGCTGCTGTAGGAGCGGGGATTACCTGACTGTTGTAGGGAGGGATATTACACTCTGGTGGTGCAAGATCTCTCTGTCTAACATCAGGGGTTTCCCACTGCAGCTCCATAAGACACAGTCACTGGCTGGGTGTAGTAGCTGTGGCGCTGTGGTCACAAGAAGAAGAGGAGTTTGGACTTGATATCTCGCCTTTCACTCCCCTTATGGAGTCTCAAAGCAGCTAACAATCAATCTCCTTTCCCTTCCTCCCCCACAACAAACACTCTGTGAGGTGAGTGAGGCTGAGAGACTTCAGAGAAGTGTGACTAGCCCAAGGTCACCCAGCAGCTGCATGTGGAGGAGCGGGGAAGCAAACCTGGTTCACCAGATTACAAGTCCACCACTCTTAACCACTACACCACGCTGGCTCTAAACCACTGAGCCTCTTGGGCTTGCCGATCAGAAGTTCGGTGGTTCAAACCTCTGCGACGTGGTGAGCTCCCATTGCTCTGTCCCAGCTCCTGCCAACCTAGCCGTTTGAAAGCATGGCAGTGCAAGTAGATAAATAGGTACCACTGTGGCAGGAAGGTAAACTGCATTTCCGTGTGCTCTGGTTTGCGTCACGGTGTTTCGTTGTGCCAGTAGTGGAAAGCTGTGTGTGAACAAACGCTGGCTCCCTCGGCCTGAAAGCGAGATGAGCGCCGCAACCCCATAGTCGCCTTTGACTGGACTTAACTGTCCAGGGGTCCTTTACCTTTTACCTTTTAGTAGCTGTGAAAGTGTATTCCTCCCCGACCCCAGTGATGCTTTGTTGAGTGATGTTTCCTAGATGGTTTGGGGATACTTGTGTGGTACTTCTTAAAGATGTGCTTTTAAACAAAGCAGTTATTCATTCACTGTTTTCTCCCTGACCTTTTCCTTAATTATTAATTCTAGGGGGGGAAACTGCCTAGTGTTTACTTGTTTTTAAAACAATAGAAAGAAATTATTTGCTAGCACCATAGGGGAAAGTAGACCTAGTAGCCTTTGTTTATTCCCCTTTATAGGCTTCTTTAAAATTAGGAAAATCACATTAGTTATGGAGATGCTTTCTGTGCAGCAAATAGTGAAAGTAACACTTTGAAACTAGTGGTAGAGGAAGCACAAAAGATTCCTTAAAGGAAACAAGCATTTCTTTCTCTGTTTGGCAGCTCAAATGAAAGACAGGCAAGAGGGTGAAGGCTGTTTTCTATCAAGGTGCAAGAATGATATCCTTGAACAAACTTTACGACTCATCTACCTTGTAAAAAATGGGGAAATGACATGGTTTGGTTCTTCTTTGACACAACTGTATTTATTACAAGCCCTGCTATAGTTTAATTAAGTCTCTGGGTATTTTCCCCATGCCTCTTCCTGTGTTCTTAGGGAAACAGATCTTGGCATAAATACGGAGGGCTTGGGTGGAGGTTGGAATCCTTTATTCTAGTGAAATGGGAAATTCATTTCCCCCCCTGACTCGCTTACATGGTCTGTAGTAAGAGGTTTGTGTACTGCCTAGTCTATAATCTTAATCCCCCCCCCCACATTTGGGGGCTTTACATGATAGTAAAGCAACATTTAAATTAAAGCCACATTTTTGTTTCTCATAAATTCACTATCACCTGGCATCCTTTCAAGCCCTGTTTTTCAGGAGGTTAAAAAAAGAAGGTTACAGTGTGGAATGACAGAGCTTAGTATTCCTTTACCTCTTTTGCCCTGTGCAGCCTTTGGCTTGCTGATCCTATTCAAATAACCACAGAGTAATTCAACTTTCCCTAGCACTTAGTCTGTTTCAATCAAGGGAAATTCCTTAATCCAGATACAAACATATGAGCATCGACAGCTTGACACACAAATGGTTGTCTGCCTGGACTCTTTATTGCAGTTCCGTGAAAAATCTGTGAAAACCCAAGCTATATTTGTGTTCCGAATGAATGCTTTCATTTCAGATGTCATTTGAGAGACAAAACTGGCTAACTTTGGCAAAATTGAGTTTTTTGTTTTTCGCTACCTGCATGTCCATCTGAAATTCAATTTAAATTTTGAGTGTGGTTTTATGAACACTTGTTTGGGGGTCAGTCCCATTAAAATAAACAGGACTTGCACCCAAATTTTAGGATTGGGCTGTACTATTTATTTTGGACAAAATGCTTGTTTCCTTGCTGAGCCTTCCTGCATTAAAAAATAATAAAAGTGTCACCCTTTTAAAGTACAGTCCCTTCCCCCTTTTTAGATGTTTTGGGTTTCAAACTCTCAGGCATTGGCAGCTGTTGCTTCTGTTTACCAGTAGGTATATTCTTTTATTTAGTATATTTCAACCCTCCTAACAGTTAATGGTCAATAGTTATAAGACATCAGGTCTCTGAAAAACCAAACTAAAGGCAAACAAATTCTACATATCAGTGCTTCAGTTTCTGAGAGGTGATATTTATCAAGTGATAACTGCAACTTTCACACAAAAGCTTGATTGTGTGAAATAGCTATCACAGATACCTATCTCGAATAGGTATCCAAATGTGACCATCAATGGAGAAACTATTTTATCTAAGTGATGATCACTTATCACTTGAACAACTCCTGTCCCCCTGTTTGAGAATCTGCCCTGAGAACAATGAAGATTCAAGAGGCTGATGTTGGTATGGAACTAGTTTCAACAAGTTAACTGAAATAAATAATCCCATCGGGTTCTATAGGATTAAGATCAGGAATTTTGATGGGTAGTCTTGACAAGCACACAAACTAATCCCAAGCTTGTGTAAACGCCTTCAGTTTCAGCAGTGCAAGGTGGCTGTATATGATGAATCAGACCTATAAACCAGACAGTAAATCAGAATGTTTTTACAGAATGCATTGGAAACAAATAAGAGTTTTAACAGCCATGTTGAAATACTGGCACAAATTCAGCTTCCTGGTGCTAAATCTAATGAAAAACACAAGAATTATGTGATTTATTTTCCAGACAGCAGCATTGTAGGGGGTGAGGCTTGAGGTTGTCCTGCAGGACAGCTACGGTCTGAGCACTGAAAGTGATCTTAGCAACTATTGCCAGGGAAACAAATGAGACTGCAAAAATGCAAAGGCCTGGCAAGAACAATGAGAGAGATTCCGTCTTCTTTGTATTGCCTCAAGATTTATCAGTCTTTTCAGGACAGGATTGCTGAAATAGGGCACAATCCTCGTAGAAAAGATTTGCTGACCGAGAGTCTTGGTTCTGGTAATGCCAATGGAACTTGAGATATGCAGCTGGCATGACAGATCATAGAATTGTAGGGTTGGAAGGGACCCTGAGGATCATCTAGTCCAACCCCCTGCAATGCGGGAATATGCAGCTGTCCCATACAGGGATTGAACCTGCAACCTTGGCATTATCAGCACCATGCTCTTACCAACCGAGCTAGATGCAGCCGTGGAAGTCCCACAGCATATTCTGCAAGACTCCACTGGTGGACCCATTCCTGCCAGTGAATGTAGTTGGTAGACCAAATGGGGAGATTTGATGGGCTCTGGGGCAGTGGCCTCTCCTCTCTCCTTGCTTAGGTTCCCAGGATGTTGAAGGGTGCAGGCCTCTCTGGGTATGCGAGAGGCATGGGTGCTGCTGTAATAGAGAATGAGGCAGTTGGTTGACGTGAGGGGGGAGAAGGAGGGACAAAGAGGCATAGGATAGGCGTTTAGGTCTGTTGGGGTGCCTCTTTGCAGCACTGGCCTATTGGGAAGCTTGAGAGGTTTGCCAAGGGAAGCTGTGAGCCCAAAGCACTGGCTGGTACATGCAGGAACCAAGCAATTTGTCCACGAGTACTCCTCTTTATTGGCCCAGATATACCTGCGTAACCGGGGCCTTCTCTCTAATGGGATTTTCTACTCTGCTGTGGGTAAAACCTCAGCACCTAGGACTTGCCGATCGCATGGTCGGTGGTTCGAATCCCCGCGGCGGGGTGAGCTCCCGTTGTTCGGCCCCAGCTCCTGCCCACCTAGCAGTTCGAAAGCACCCTTAAGTGCAAGTAGATAAATAGGTACCGCTTTATAGCGGGAAGGTAAACGGCGTTTCCGTGTGCTGCGCTGGTGCTGGCTCGCCAGAGCAGCTTCGTCACGCTGGCCACGTGACCCGGAAGTGTCTCCGGACAGCGCTGGCCCCCAGCCTCTTAAGCGAGATGGGCGCGCAACCCCAGAGTCGGTACCTTTACCTTTTATTCTGACCAGGGTCCCCCTGCATGTGAAACATGGCCTTTTTACTTTGCTAGGGCTCCTTCCGGTGCTGCTGGCATTCATGAGTTCCTCTGGGATGGGGAAAGGCCCATGATGTGTCCGATAGCTGTCTGCTGCTGTGGTTGGCTGGCCAGGGACCTTTCAATGTGGGGTTTGCATTCCAGGAGCTCCCTCTCTTTTGGAAAAGGTTTGTGTGGCTAAATTTCTCTCTACCCTTTGCCCTTGTGAGGCGTGAACATCCATTCCCTACTTCGCAACCATGTGCTGTGTGGCTTGAATAGATGCAGAGTTCGGCAGCACAACTGGTTCCCCCGCACTGGGTGACAAGCCGAGTGGGTTGCAGCGGGGCATTGCAACTCTGGTGTGTGCACCACTGAAATTTGAAAGACTATAGTCCACAGCTGCCTTGAGCCAATGGAGTCTGCTGCTGCTGCTGCTGCTGCTGCTACTCTCTCTCTCTCTCTCTCTCTCTCTCTCTCTCTCTCTCTCTCTCTCTGGCCACCCTTGTTTCTTGTCCTGGTTGCCCCCTCCCTTGGCTGTTTGGCAAAAAGATCTTTTTCTTCCAGGGTCCGTCTTGAACCTTGTTGTCCATCTTTCCTCCCCCCAAGGGCTGTGTGTGAACACTGTGCCCAGGAAACAATGTGGGTGTTGTGTTGTGTGTCTTCCCATTCCTTCCCTTGAGGTGTGGTATCATGGCACTTGAACCCTTTGGAGGAATTCCTGACGCCTGGCTTAGCCAGTGCAGCTGACAGAGTTGTGGTTCTCTGGCATTGTTGTGTGTGTCGTAATGCAAGGGGCTGCTGTGTCATGAGTTCATTGGTTGCCTCCGCGTGGGGATGGTATTTGGGGGTGGCATCACTAGTGCAGACTCTGTTTGGTGTGCTGTGGAAGTGTTTGCAGGGATGTTTTGAGTGTCCCTCTCATTACTCTGCCCTTTGGTGAGTGCATTTTCCTGGGCTGAGCACACGTTGAATTTGGTTGCCATCCCACTAAGATAACAGTGGGGCTTCTTCAGATAGAGCATAATGCAAGTATAGGGTTGTGCATCCTCAGAATAATTCCTACAAAAATTGAAAACCAGGTGTCTGCCTTCAAAGCAAGAAATGAAGTTAGATTTAAATACAGTGGTACCTTGGTTTGCATATGTCTTGGTTTGCATACTGTATTTTTCGCCACATAGGACGCACCAGCCCATAGGACGCACCTAGTTTTTTGGGGGGGAAATAAAGGGGTAAAAATTTATTTCCCCCCCAGGTGCGCTGCGCTAATCCCAAAGCTTGGGGCGTGCGGAGTTCGGCGCGCCCCAAGCTTCTGGGTGCCGGCAAGGTCTCCGCTAGCTGTGGGAGAGCCGCGTGGCTCTCCCACGGCTAGCGGAGCGCTGCGCTAATCCCGAAGCTTGGGGCGTGCGGAGCTCAGCGTGCCCCAAGCTTCTGGGTGCAGGCAAGCTCTCCACTAGGCCTGGGAGAGCTGGGTCTCCCATGGCTAGCGGATAGCTTCCTGAAGCCTGGCGAGCGAGAGGGGTCGGTGCGCATTCGCCCCATAGGACACACACACATTTCCCCTTCATTTTTGGAGGGGAAAAAGTGCGTCCTATAGGGCGAAAAATATGGTACATTTTGGATTACAAACACATAAAACCCGGAAGTGCATGTCCCGGTTTGCAACCTTTTTTGGGGATTAGAACCCTTTTTTTTCTTTTCTTTTTGGATTACGAACAATTTTTTTTTTGGAGGCCCCATTGGTGAAAGCGCACCTTGGGTTACAACCTGTTTTGGTTTACAAACGGACCTCCAGAACGGATTATGGTTGTAAACCAAGGTACCACTGTATACAAACATAATTTCAACAACTGGAAAATGTTTTATACAGTTTTGTTTTGTTTCTTTGTAGACAAAAGATGATCAGTGCATATGCTTTTCCTGAATATTTAAGCCCCTTAATAAAGTTACGTGCCATCTATTACAATAGGTCGGGGTCCCTTTACCTTTACTAAATTGAACTATTAAGTGCAGCATTCATATAATGCATGTATGGAATTATGTTGGAGATTATTATTTTACATACCAGACAAGATGAGGACTTTGCATAATACTGCTGAGTTAGCATGCTAATTAGTCAGTCAAAATAAATCAAAATAAACAATACAAACAGATGAATGTTCACAGCTCTTTCATTTGACCTTGGTTATGTGGCAGATGCTATAAAAATAAATGCTTGTGAATTCTTAAATCTTAATGTTTAGCTGATTGCAGGCTATCAAATCCTCCCACAGTTCTCATGCTGCGACTGGCATGTCTAACAAATCTTTCCATTCTTGCGCTTTTGATAATCTCCTTTGACTGCCCACCCATAGCCCTATTGCCTTGGCTCTGGCAGAAATAGCCCAGCCCTCTTCTCTCATTTCTCCACTGAGTCTGCAAAAAGCACAATATCTCTGGCCTTTCTGTCACCTGATGTCATTCCAACAGAATTCGTGCACAGTGCCTGATCTCCTCTTCAGTCATCTTTAGCTCACATTGGAATAATAGCGTGATGTGTTAGGGATGTTGCTTTTTTAAGGGGGGAAAATGAAAAGTGTGTCAGTCACGGTGCTCAGGTTAGCTTTGAATGCTGCTGCTGCTGCTGTAGGTGTTCTGCTAGTTTCTGGACTTCGAAATAAGAGTGAGCCAGAGAGAGGCTCAGGTCCATGGACACACTTGTGGTACTTCCTTTTAAGACAGAGATGGGGAACTTGTGACATCATCTCTGATGAATGGTCATGTGGATTGGGCCTGATGAAGTCCAGCCACATGTCTGCAGAGCTACCATTCATCCCTGCCTTAGAGGTAGCGAAGTTATTTGGGGCCAGGGAGAGCAGCTCCTGATTAGGGATGGGTGGCATATATGTGTGTCATGAGAAAAGTCCTAGAAGGAAACAGCATGGTATAAATCAGGCATAGGCAAACTTGGCCCTCCAGATGTTCTGGGACTACAACTCCCATGATCCCTAGCTAACAGGACCAGTGGTCAGGGATGATGGGAGTTGTAGTCTCAAAACATCCGGAGGGCCGAGTTTGCCTATGCCTGGTATAAATTGTGTAACATATACTTTATTATTTATTTAGCTATTACATTTATATACCACTTTTATCTTCCAAAGATCTCAAGGTGCTGTATATGGTTCTTTACCCCCATTTCATCCTCACAACAACTTGGAGAGGCAGGTTAGGCTAAGAGATGGTCACTGGCCCAAAATCGCCCAGTGAGCTTCACAGCTAAGGACTTGAACTCTGCTTTCTCAGGTCCTAGACCAACACACTAACCATTATGCCATTCTTTCTCCACTGAGTTTCTTATACCTACCACCCTTTATCCTCAAAAGAACCAAAGCATGGTAGGTTGAGCTTAGTGACTGGCTCAAGGTCATTCGGTGAGCTTCACATGCAGAAGTTGGATGGCCATCTGTCATGGATGCTTTAGTTGAGATTCCTGCATTGCAGGGGATTGGACTAGATCACCCATTGGGGTCCCTTCCAACTCTACAATTGTATGATTCTATATCTTATGTTTAAGTCACATTGACTTCCTCTCGTTTTCCTTACCCTCATTATCACGGGTGCTTTCCTGAGTCTCAACATGGGTAGGTACCTGTCTTTTAGAAATGTGCACATCTGCCACAGCTGGCGTAGCCATACCCATTTAGATATACCTGCACCATTATATGACCTGATTTGGATTTCTGCATCAGTGTATTAAGAGGATGGTCATAGTTGTCCCATTATATTTTTTTTATAAAACATGCTGCTATTGAGCTGTTTCTTTTGAAGGAAATATTGGAGCTTAATTTGCAAGCGCTTTTGCTCCATCTAAGCCAGCCTTTGCCAACCCAGTGTCCTTGTGAAGGCTGATACTCATTTGGTATTCTAGACTTGAGTTCTATAGCATTATGACTCATTGGATTATTGTTCTTCTCCTAAATTTATAGGATTTGTGGCATGTTTAAAGACTTCGTATCATGTCATTTATCAATTTTTATTTGCCAGGAAATGTTATGAAGAAAGCATTTCTTATGATAATCCTTTTAAGTTAGCTGCTTATTTTACAAATTTGCATGTATCACAGGGCTTTTACTCAGTCCAGATTTAATGTGTTGCCTTCTCACCATTGCTTTGGCATAGATAATGCTGGTGTTCCTGTCTCCTTGAGGGTCTGTCCTTGTAACTCCAGGAACTGGAATCTATGGGATATGTTCATTTGTTTTGTAATTCGTTACACTACAGCTTGTCAGCAAATGATTGCCCCTTAGCCAAGCTACCACAAAGGTCCTCTTCTTTGTATGTTAAATATTTGCTGGGAGATAAAATCCCATGGGTGTCATTAGTAGCAGCCAAATTTTATCAGTGGAAGTGAGAACAAGGAGGCAGTTAAGCATCTCGAACTGGAAGGATCATTTTGGGAAGCTCCTTAGGGGCATTTGCTATCTTGCATCTATGTCGACTTAAGCCAAAGGCATTTATGTTGATACCTTGCTTTTTTACTTTGCCCTGTACTTCTTATAATCATGATACAGTTTTGGTCTTTATTCTGGTCTGTTGAACATAATAACTTGATAACAATGATGGATGGCTCAGTGGGTTAGAACATGGTGCTGATAATGCCATGTTTGCAGGTTCGATCCCCAAATGGGAGGGATGCATATTCCTGCATTGCAGGGAGTTGAACTAGATGATCCTCAGGGCCCAACTCTAGAATTCTGTGATTCTATAATGACTTCTATTGTTGTTGTTGTTGTTTAGTCGTTTAGTCGTGTCTGACTCTTCCTGACCCCATGGACCAGAGCATGCAAGTCAGTCCTGTCTTCCACTGCCTCCCACAGCTTGGTCAAACTCATGCTGGTAGCTTCAAGAACACTCGAATGACTTCTATTACTTCCCATCATACTATTTCAGAGAATGTTGCAGTTTAGCTTTAACTTACATTAAAGTTTAAACTTAACCAAGTCCCATATTTCATTCCATACCTATTCCCCAAACACTTGACACATTGCGCAACCGTTTTAAGACAATTACAGTTTTTGCCACTTACCCACAATGCAGCAGGAAACATACCTATTTTTGTTATAATCTCGTGGGTAAAGTGTATTATAAACCACATCCACAATGTGGCTTATTCTGTGGTTGTGCTTTGAATAATGCATACATGAAAATTAATTCCTGTTACCCAATAGTTTTGCTTCCTTTGCATATACAGAAGACCATATTCTTGTCTTTTAAGCATCCAATTGACCTTTGTTTTAGAGTTTCCATGCAGAAGCAGGTGGGTAGAATTCTTGTGTGCACTATTTTAGTCTTCAGGTCAGGAGTGCCTTTTTATGTTTTTTTTTTGTTTTTTTTTTTTTGGGGGGTTGCGGCGCTCATCTTGCTTTATTTATTTATTTATTTATTTATTTATTTATTTTTTTTTAAATATTTTATTAAGGATTTTCTTGTTTTACAGAAGTGTAGTGCCTCGTATTTTTTTTTCCCAT